TCATTGATTTTACCATACTTAGAGTATGGCGTTGAAAACTGGGGAAATACATACAAAAGCTCACTTCAACCATTGTATATATTACAAAAAAGAGTGATAAGAATTGTGCATAAGATGGGGTACAGGGATCACACCAATGGAGCTTTCATACAGTCTAAATTGTTAAAATTTTTTGATTTAGTGGGATATAAGACTGCTGTGTTTATGTATAAAGCCAGGAACAATCTGTTACCTGGTGGAATTCAAAAACTATTTAATGAAAGAGAAGGGGGATACAATTTAAGGGGTCAGTTAAATTTAAAAATTCATGTTATATGAATTAAACAGGTAGCGCCACCCGAACCATAACAGAAGTCCTCCATAAATGGGAAATGTACATAGCTTCAGCCTTAAGTGAACTGTTTGTGTGCTCTGTTCATGTTTAGAATAGGAGATGGGCGCTAGGTCAATGCGACCTAGAAGTTCATGTACTGGACATCTCAGACAATTCTCGGAAGAAGGGGTGTAGAGCTGGCGTGAAACCGTGACTCTGGCTCAAGCAATAGGAGGCTGTGTAACTGTGAGAAGATAAAAGTTAGGACAGCTGTGGGTTAGTGGAAGAAGGAGTGATGGTGCTGCAGTCGTGAGTGTGCGTTAGGACCCGGCCGGGGGGAGACTCTGGACTCTGAACTGACTGTACCTTGTGGCCACAATGACTGATGGACTCTATGTCAATCTTCTTATTTAATATTGTATCTATTCCATTGCAGGAGGAGTGATTCTGTTCTCTGTTCCCTATCCAGGTTGTTGGATTGTCTCATAAACCTATTGAACTGTTCAGAATAATTGTAATATTAAATGATTATTGGATTTGGGATAGTTTGTCTGAATAAATTTAGGACACATCAGACTCAAACAACAACCCATGTCTATGGACTGCGGGAGGAAGACGGAGTACCCGGAGGGAACCCACACAAGCACGGGGAGAACATGCAAACTCCGCACAGAAAGGTCGCGAACCCGGAACCTGCTCGCTGTGAGGAAATGGTGCTAACCACCGCTCCACCGTGCTGCCCCCATCTTAAACAATTCCTGCAAAAGAGGGACTTAAGCATTGCCAGAAAACGGAGAATTTTGCATAAACAACAGGATGGGAGTGTACGGGGGGCGGGCGGTTGAAAAGTAGTGCGTCATGCTGTATTGAGGCAAGCAAGCAAGGAGCTGGTCAAGAGGAAAGACAGGAGAGGACTGATTGACTCTTCTGACAATTTTCTTTTTCAATTCTATGCAAAGAAGGTGATTCTACACCCTGCCTTTTGAATTATTGTAATAATAAATGATCACTGGAATTGTAGTGATTTGTCTGTGATTTAATTTAAGCCACTGACAGACTTAACCACTACAGTATCTGCACAGCCTTTTTCCACCCACTGTAGCAGTCCATAAGTGAGTGGACCACAAACATCCAGCTGGCCTGTAGTATAATGCAGGGGAATTCAGAGGTTAGTGTAACGATCTTTATGCGTCCAATGATGCTCCATTTGCAGCTTGCATGTAGGTCTACAGCCGCTCTTCAGAGGTCATGTGCAGTGAACTTCCTCTCCTGACAGGAGTGAATTACAAAAGACATCCTCATGGGTAGGGCAGCATGGTGGCACAGTGGTTAGCATCGTTGCCTCACAGTGAGAAGGTTCTGGGTTTGGGCCCCACCCGGGACCTTTCTGTGTGGAGTTTGCATGTTCTCCCTGTGCTTGCGTGGGTTCTCTTCAGGTACTCCAGCTTCCTCCCACAGTCCAAAGACATGCAGCTTAGGTTGATTGGTGTCTCTAAATTGCGTGTGTGTGCGTGTGCGTGTGCGTGTGTGTGTGTGTCTCTGTGTTATCCCTGTGATGGATCGGGTTGTCCCCTGCCTTTGCCCAATTGCCAGCTGGGATTGGCTCCAGCCCCACCCCAATGACCCCATTCAGGGACTAAGCGGTAGAAAATGAATCCTCAGGGGTTTCCAAACAAACCTTCACCTGTTGCTGCCAGGTAAAGCAGCAACCAGGAGAGTACAAGCAGCCGGGGTCCCGGGCAACATCATGTCTGTGTATTCTCCATAAGCCCAGTGCCATTTCTGTGCTGCTTAAGTCTCTACGGTCCTATGCAGAACCAACGGATTGTTGTGTTTAAGCATGCCTGTAAAATCTCATATTTTTCTCCACAGTCCACATTGCCATGCCATGTTCTGGTCACATGGCGAATCAGTGCGCCTCTCTGTTTTTGTATTTTGGGGCATTGCTGAGCTCAGGTTATTTTTCTAACTAGACTCAAGAGAACTGTATTTTTGTTCATGGGTTTTAGTGCTCACTGTGCCTGGCCCCCACCTGTCAGTGGATTACCAACTTTCTGACAGACAGGAAGCAGCAAGTGCGGCTGGAGAAAACCACATCCAGCACCTGGACTATCAGCACAAGCACCCCCCATGGATGTGTGCTCTCCTTTCTGCTGTTTTCACTCTACACCAACAACTGCATCTCAAACGACCCCTCTGTTAAGCTCCTAAAGTTTGCAGATGATACAACGGTCATTGGTCTCATCTGAGACAGTGACAAGTCAGCCTACAGACTCCCTGGTGTGGTGTGCATCCCCTTATTAACAAGTGTGCCTACTTAAAGCACTGGCAGATGCTCCTTCGTGGCCAGATTATTGACATTAATCGTGTCAGTGTCAATGATCTGGCGATAAATGAGCATCTACCAGTGCTTTAAATAGGGAAGATTGATTAGCGGGGGATGAGGTTCAGCTGTGCGCTACACCCGGGAGTGAATTAGCAGGTGAATGCATTTCAGCTGTGTCACTGAGCCTGCAGGATGAGAGAGCAGTAGAGAAAAAGGGGAAGAGAGGCAGGTTCATGCTGAGTGGACCTGACACCTAAGGCACACCTGTGCAATAATTATGCTGTCTAATCAGTATCTTGATATGCCACACCTGTGAGGTGGATAGATTATCTCAGCAAAGGAGAAATGCTCACTAACACAGATTTAGACAGATTTGTGAACAATATTTGAGAGAAATAGGCCTTTTGTGTACATAGAAAAAGTCATAGATCGTTGAGTTCAGCTCATGAAAAATGGGGGCAAACACAAAAGTGTTGCATTTATAATTTTGTTCAGTGTATTTTAAGCAAATTGACAGCACTACAGTTTCCACTAATGCTGTCAAATGAAATTCTGCTTCTGTTTGTTTTCCCAGGTAACTCCATTATGCGATCTGTTCTGTATACCTGGAACCCTGGTATTCATATTGCACTATCCGAGATGGAGGTGCTGAGCCAACTTTCATGAAGCATAGACCAATGGGACACGAGAAGTTACAGTTAGTCCAGACAACAAGAAGGAGTTCATCCATTTTGTTGACTAGAGAGCAGAGATTCACTATATGGCTAGACGAGAGTGGTGTCCAGGTCCCTCTCTGTCATAACTTAACCAGGGCCCCCGCTCTCTTCCCTCCCTGCTTTCTTATGAAGTCGAGTTAAGGCCCTTGGTCCAAGCCCTCATGTTAGAAAGGAACAGTGTTTATATGTAATGAAATCCTATCAGAGTTAATTTATTCATAGTTAATTTTTCAAGACCCTTTTGTTGATCAAGTATATTACCTACCTCTTGTGGGCCAGTAGCATTTCCTTGTGAAGCTTGTTATGAGTCTTGAAAGTCTTGATGGTGTTTGACTGGCTTGAACAGGCTTCAGTGAATCCACTATCTGGCAAAGAAATAGCATCAAAAACAAAAAGAATCCCTCACTAAAGATCTGTTTCACAGTCACCTGGCTGTGCAGTAGGAGGAAAGAAAATAGATCCTCCACCTAAAACCAAAAATCACTTTTTAAATTTCTTTATATGTGCAGTTGAACTTTTTCTTTTACATTTGAACAAAGCTAGGTTAGTTATCCTCACTCTACTGAAAGCATGAGACAGAAGAATGATATTGATCTTTTCATTCTACTTTTAGAATAAAATACCAGGGGCCTCATAAACACTGCATATGCGTAAAAAGCTCAGAGGAGTGTCCATGCAGATTCCTTCATAAAATACATTTGTGAATTCTTCTGTGCGCATTCATTGATATCACAACTTGGTTTTACCTCTCATCAAAGAGGCTTCATCAGTTTGGCCCGACTGGCATTGAGCCAGAGATATTTATCCCCATTGGTGGTGTTTCAGTCCTTTGATGGCCAACAGTGTCCCCTAATGACTGAGTCATTATAGCCCAGTATTGGTGAGCATTGTTACCTGTCTTTGAACCCTCACCTGTGGACCAACACCCATTGTCCTGGTGGGCATGTTTGGGCAGAGATCTGTAACAGGATTGTAGATGGATGACAAGTTGTGTCTTAGTCCACCACCCCATTTAGTGAGGGGTGTTCTATTTGGACAAAAATAGCTTCCTTGACTCCTCTCTAAAACCAGCAATGTTCTTTGGGGAGGATCTGGACTTCACTGTCCTCAAAAGAATGTCCTTTGTCCTTCAGGTAGCGGTGGACTGCTGACTCTGGTCCACTGCGGTCGGCCCTCCTGTGTTGGGCCATGCGTTTGTGAAGCGGCTGCTTAGTTTAACCAATGTACAAGTTGATACACTCCTGATTACACTTAATTGTACACCTACCGACGACAAATGGGTCAAAAATCCTTCAGACAAAAAACTCAAGGACACAGAAAAAGAGGTATTTGCCAAGGGATGAACTTTGCGGTCACACCAAAACAAATCCCCGTGGTAGACTTCATCACAGCCACAGAGTCAGCCATTAAGAACAGCAAGCTGGCTGAGACGGAGGCGTAAGAACTGCAGATGAAGTTCACAGCCGCTTTGGCCAGTGTCAAACTCCCACCCTCAAACCTTACCCCTGAGGAAAGGAGGGTTTTGGCTGCACTATAGAAGGATGAAACCATCACAATCCATCTGGCAGACATAGGCAGATGTATGGTAGTCCTAAACTCAGCTGACTATCAGACCAGAGTTTCCAACCTCCTCAGTGACACCACCACCTATGAAGCACTGAAGAGGGACCCCACCAGTGGCTACAAGAAGAAGGTTATAGACTGTTTACAGAAGCTGGAAAAGGAGGGAGTTATTGACCGGTGACTATACTACAGACTATACCCCGGGGAGGCCATCCCTTGACTTTATGGCCTACCCAAAATACACACGGAAGGAGCCCCACTCAGACCCATTGTCAGCAGCATCAACTCTGTGACTTACAACATAGCCAAGCACATAGCCACCATTCTGGCTCCTTTGGTGTGAAACACACAAAACCACAAAACTCCCAGGACTTAGTGAGGAAAGTCAAGCAACTGCAGCTGGACCAGAACGAGACCATGGTCTCATATATCCTTGTTCACTTGCATCCCCACCACAGAGGCTGTCAGGGCGGTGAAGAAGAGACTGCTGAAGGATGACACGCTAAACAGCCAGACTAACTTCACCCCAGACCACGTATGCACTCTGCTGGTACTCTGTTTAAACACTACCTACTTCGAGTTTAGGGGGCACTTCTATAGGCAGCAACACGGCTGTGCTATGGGCTCCCTGGTGTCTCCTGTAGTTGCCAACTTGTACATGGAAAAATCTGAGGAGAAAGCCCTGGCTTCCTTCACTGGCACCACTCCCAGCCACTGGTTCCGCCACGTGGATGACACATGGGTTAAAATCAGGACCCAGGAGGTGGAGGCTTTCACCAAACATATCAACTCTGTGGATGACAACATCAAATTCACTCATGAGGATGCCAGGGATGACTGTCTGGCCTTTCTGGATTGTGCAGTCCACTTGGGAGGGGACAGAAGGCTGAAAGTAGAAATATATCGGAAACCTACACACACAGACCAATACCTGCTTTTTGACTCACACCACCCACTTCAACACAAACTGGGAGTCATCAAAACTTTGAATCACAGTGCAGAGGAAGTGCCCACAATGGCAGAAGGGGCCAAGAAAGAAAAATTACACATCCAGAACTCCCTTGAGGCTTGTGGATACCCTACCCAACACCAACAGGGAGAAACCAGAAACAAGAGGGGATAACACTGTCATCCCTTATGTGGCTGGTTTATCAGAGAAGTTAAAAAGAATCTTTCACAACCACAATATCCCAGTCAACTTAAACCCCATGAACACCCTGTGGCAAAGACTGGTCCAACACAGGAGGGCCGACCGCAGTGGACCAGAGTCAGCAGTCCACCGCTACCTGAAGGACAAAGGACATTCTTTTGAGGACAGTGAAGTCCAGATCCTCCCCAAAGAACATTGCTGGTTTTAGAGAGGAGTCAAGGAAGCTATTTTTGTCCAAATAGAACACCCCTCACTAAATGGGGTGGTGGACTAAGACACAACTTGTCATCCATCTACAATCCTGTTACAGATCTCTGCCCAAACATGCCCACCAGGACAATGGGTGTTGGTCCACAGGTGAGGGTTCAAAGATAGGTAACAACTCTCATCGATACTGGGCTATAATGACTCAGTCATTAGGGGACACTGTTGGCCATCAAAGGACTGAAACACCACCAATGGGGATAAATATCTCTGGCTCAATGCCAGTCGGGCCAAACTGATGAAGCCTCTTTGATGAGAGGTAAAACCAAGTTGTGATATCAATGAATGCGCACAGAAGAATTCACAAATGTATTTTATGATTTATAAATTACTCACAATAAAAATATGTTTCACTGCCATTTATCATTGTATATAAATAAAAAAAAAGGCCACAGATAATTCCATTTTGGAAACAAATGAATCATTTGTGAATGGTGCCACAGCAGGAGAGTCTGACAAATGTCCCTTTCAAATACAGTAGTTCACAAAAGACAAGCACATTGTAAATGCAGTCCGAACAGTCTCTATATAAATGTCGCAACATGCAGATATTTTTGATGAAATTTTCTAATACTTTTCAAGTATTATAAGTATAAATCCACAAACATTTGTGGATTTCTACTCCATATATTTAAAACATCCTTCATTGTTTATATGTGGATTTTTAACATTTATATAAAATAAGTAATTGTTTCTGCATTGAAAACTACTTTTGTGGGGAGAATCGTTTATATTTAAATCCCAAAATACATTTTTTCATCTATTTGTACACATTCATGAATAGATTCATCTGATTCCATAAATTACACTGAATTAGTTTTTAAATAGAAGGATATACTTACAAGATGTACTGTACATGTCACTGATAAGTCAGAAAGCTCTCTCCACAGCAATAATCCTAGTTAGAGATTATTTTATTGAAATTAGTTGCAATACATGAAGTTCTGCCGTCCCTGGTAGGCTAGTGGTTAAGGCGCAGCGCACTCGCCGCTGCAGCCCGAGTTCAAGTCAGGGTTGCGTCAGGAAGGGCATCTGGCATAAAACACGTGCCAAATTTCAACATGCGATTTGTCAGCGTGACGACTCGCTGTGGCAACCCCTAAACGGGAAAAGCTGAAAGTGACTTTCTTAGTTGCAATACATGAAGTCTAGTACTATGTCATAGCTCTAGACAAACAACAGCCCAGATTAGCTAGACAACATCTCCCCTGTAATCTGTCCCATGATTTAAAAAGCCTGTATCTCAAGGAAGTATAATGGTCATTGTCATTCTCTTTTTGGGACCTTACAACATGGAGGGGGTGATGGTTACCAATGGAATCAATGTCAACTGCTTCAATTGCTGAGGCTGAAGATACAACAAAGGCAAACAAACAAACCTAACAAAAAATCAAAAGTACCTTTCAAAGCCTGTCATTTCCCATTTCTTCACAATTATTTTTTGACTTTCGATTTCATTACCACAATGCTCTGAATGGTTCCAAACTGATGGTCACCATCAGCAGAGTGAGACAGTAAAATGTCAATCCTGCCCTATAGCTAGTACCCATGTGCGTTTTCCCCTGGTCTCCAGCCTTAATATTCTCCTCCTTTCCCCTCAATCACTTGCTTATTCATTCTGCTCACCACACCCTGCCAGTTCTGTATCTGTCTCCTGTAAGTTTCCTGCCCTGGCTACTTGTGGACAGTTTCTCTTTGAGTTTTGGATTTACTTGTCATTAAGGATTCTTGGTTTGTTTCTTCAGTTTTGTTTGGGTTGTGGGTTTGAGTTCATTTTTTCACCTAGCTGCCTGATTGAACTATTTTTGTGTTGACTTTAGTTTTACGCTTAGTTGGGTTGAAGTCCTCAAGTTTTTCCATTATCTCTCTGTCCAGTGTCCTTATAATTTTACTAAACGCTATTCCTCAGCCTGGATCTGCATTTCTGGGTCCTTCCTGTGCCTTAGGCTTAACATTAATTTATGCACAACCATAGACTAATATGCATGCATATTATTGCCAGCTGTCTTGCCTCACGGAGATCCCTCTCACATTTTGGATTATCCACAATGAAGCCTACTCGGAGCAAAAGAATTTCTTTTTTCCTTAGATTATAAAATATCATTTTTAGCAGCAGAACTAATGAATAGCTACAGCAGCAAAGGACCACAGACCACATTAGTAGCATCCCCACCCAATGGGTATAACAAAGCCAAAGAACACTAGTTTCTTGTTAACATGACTGGAATTAAAGTACATACAGCCAATGCGGCATTCTTGCTAGTTTACATGCATTCATCCTTTAGCTAAGCAAAACTGCCTGCCATTTTACCATGCCTGTTTTCCTCCTACTGATATACATTGTTAGTGTTCTGTTCTACATTGTGCTGTGAGCTAGTTCAGGGGCCGATGGATAAATGGTATTATAGGTAGTCGGTTCTGGTGGTAGTTAGCCGAAGCAAAGTTCAACTAAGGCTCATCATCCCCGACTCTACAAGCTACAAATTTACCGTCTTCTTACCTCTACCTGTTAACTACATGCTGGAGCAAGGGTTGAAGATCAGGTGAGACCATAAGTCTACATGACATGGCAGACTTCAGAGAAAGGTGAGCCTTGATTTCAGGTTGCAGATCCAACCCATTGCACTGGGTCAGTATTTTTAAACCCAATGTTAAGTAAAACCCACCTAATCTGTAATCCAACCCAGCATCTGGGTTATTAAAAACACCCAGCATTTTTTGTGTTTAGGTATTTTCTAATCCAGTTTTATGGGAAGGGACTAAAAACAGAATGCCACAATCTACTGTATGTTAGATGTCTGTCTTGCATCAGTTCAACTGACCTTTTCTGTGATTGTTGCTCTCTGCATGAGTGTTGTTTATCATCTTGCTTCTGGAGGCCAGCTGGATGTATGTGATTACTGAACACAATGAGGGATTGTATGGCAGTGTTTGGAAACTGATAGAAGAGGCAGCAGAGGTGGTTCTCAGTATGTGAAAACGATTGATGGAAAGCAGCACCCAAGGACCTGGTGTGGAGCCCCAACTCCTTCTACATGCTGGGAAGATGCTTAGGGAGAGGTAACAAAGGGTGATGACAAAGGTGGTATCATGAAACTGAAATCAGAGAGCAGATGAAAAAGAGATACAGTAGTGAGAAAACAGATAGCTTCAGTAGAGATGAATAATTTATGCTGTCAGTGGACAGGTGCACGTAAATGACTTATCACAGAGCAGATAAGCAGTGGTACAATGACAGAGATTCAAAGCTGAAATTACCATCTAGCTCACTGAACTAGAAATGAAGAGAAGTGAGGCGAAACAAATTGTGTAGGATTACATAAATAGATGACTTGTTGCATAACAAGTGCCAAACTATTTAAAAAACAAAAGAGTAGCACTAACAAAGGTAAAGGGCAAACCTGTTAAGTATTTTAACATAAAATTGTTTGATTGTGGTGAATTACAAACCAAAAATTCTGTGGATCAACCCTGACCCACGAACACTGGTAGTGTTCATGGGTCAACACAGTGTAACCAAAAAATACTGTAAGCTTTAAAAAACAAAATAAGAGTAGCACATTAATTCATAAATGTAATCTAACAAAAGTAAAGGGCAAATGTAAACATCTGTTGAGTATTTTAACATGAAATAGTTTGATTGTGGTGAATTACAAAGCCAAAAATTCTGTGGGTCAACGCTGACCCATGAACACAGGCAATGTACAAATGCAATGTAACAAATGAACAACACACAAGGGATAAGACCTTATAAAAAATGAAAGAGGCATACTCCACAGTAAAGGATTGTAACAGTTATAAAGCGTACCTATTGCATGTAGCTCTGTATCATTCACATAATGCAGTAGAATCTAAAGAAAAACACATTCAGGATTTAGCCCTACCTGTGTTGCACTACTCCTTCATGAGAGGCTGTTGTTTGAGAACACTGACCATCGTATCGAGTGGACACACAGTGATACAAATGAGAGTAGTGTTACTTGAGAGCCCTGAATGTTGTACTCACTGTCTGGCCCCTGTGTTCACATTTCACAGGGAGACAAGTAGGATAAAGCACTTGTTTAGTGACGACAGTGCTTTTATACAGCATGTTTATATTTTTATATACAGTAATTATGATGTCATTGATAAGATCTGCAAAACATTCAGTATTCTGCTGGTGGGATTCGCATGTGTGTAATATCATAATTATATTTACTATAAAGCCATATTTTAACAAATAATGAAAGCACAGAAGTGATAAAAAAAATCCCTCAAAGCTTCAAAAATGTGCAATGGCTGACCTCTGTAGGTAGACCTCCTCTCAATGGTTTCATGGTGCTGTTACATAACAACCAAATAATGTCCTATGATTCACTACATTTTAACAAAAGCTTCTCCAATAGTTTTTTTTTAAGCTGGCCTTATACCTAATAATTTTCAATTTTGTGTCACAAACTGTCAGGTTTGCCCGGCTGCACCTACTTTTTCACTCCCCTCTCTCTGTTTTCACTCCCTTACCCTGATTACGTTATCCCTTACACCTGCTTCTTACCCCCAGATTACCACCAGCTGCACCTGATTAGTTTCTCCCTATTTTAGTCCCTGCTCTTCGTTCACTCCTCTGCCAGTTCTTTCTAGCATTTTTCAGGCCCGTTTGTTTCTCCATCGTTCTTTTTGATCTGTGTTAGTTTTGGTCTTATCTCCTTCTCTCCAGCTGCTATTTATTCATTCCCTCCTCGCCTCAGTCGCTCCTTCGGACCACGGACCTCCTCCGCTCTGCTTCATCACCACCCTGCAGGTCGATGCACAGTCTACTACTTACCGTATGTACAATTTCTGTTCCTCTTCAGTACCATCAAACTTGACCAGTCCAGGAGTGAGTCCCAGTGTCCACAGCCCGGCCCTCTTCTCATCATCTCCACCACTGACTGTGTTCCCATCCGAAGCTCGACACCCGGTCCCAGTGTTACTCGACTGTTCATTTCTTGGTCACTTGTTTTACACTGTAAATAAACTTGCACTGCTTGCATCGAAGTCAGCCACCTGGGTCCGTCAGTTTTTGTGACTTGCTCACTTCCGTGTTCGAGCCTTCCTAACACAAACAAGTTTCCAATTGTAGTGTCCACAAGTCCAAAGTAGACAATTTTTTTTTTTTTTTTTTTTTTTTTTTTTTTTTTTTTTTTTTTTTTTTTTTTTTTTTTTTTTTTAGGATTTTTCAGTCAGGATTTAGAGTCCATCACAGTACAGAAACTACACTGGTGAAAGTCACCAATGATCTCCTCCTAGCCTCGGACAAAGGACTGGGGGGGCATGATGCTCTGAGTTCATCTCCTCTCCTTCCTAGGGGGATTTGTTGGGTTTTCCCTCTGTAATAATAGTAAGGTCTAGACCTTACTTTAAGTGTCCTGAGATGACTTTTGTTGTGATTTGGTGCTATATAAATAAAATTTGAGTGATTGATCCTACTACAGATGGTGATGAAAATATTAGAAGAAAAGACAGGTCATGCAAGTCTGCAGTTCTTCAGGAGTCTAGCCACTGGCTTCACAAATTTACAGCTCATGAGCTAGAGCTGGCTATTTTTTTTAATAATGAAAAACAGCAAATCTGAAGACAGTGAAAACGGAAACTTATTGAATAGTTGCATATACAGTTAACTTATCTTTTTGTTTATCCATCCATGCATTATTTATACCACTTATCCACATATCCATGATACTCATGGGGTGACACTGGACAGGTCACCAGTCTATCACAGGGCTGAGACTTAGAGACAGACAACCACACACACTCACACTCAACAGTAGTTCCAGTGGTTTGTGTGTGTCAGTACCACTGATGTACAGCAGTCTTTGTAAATTATTAGATCCCTGAATATCATTTGGTCAGGGACCTGGCATGGAATTAAAAAATTTTGTCAATGACAGGTGTGCTTGTAGTAGTTTCCACATTAAGGGAGCAGCTTAGGGGCAAAACGTGTTTGTAGCGACCAGTAAATCACATAAGAAGACTCACATTTGCAAGTGCAAGTTATAAATGTCGAGCGCAATTGATGCTAAATACATTAGGACTGTGAGACTGTTGCCTCTAATCTGTTCAGTCAATAGAAAGGGTGACATCATATTTGGGGGCTTATTACTCCACTACACGTTGCCATTATATTCAGAGTATTTCAGCAACAAATTTATAGTACACAAGAGACTATGTAATGCAGTGACATTAAATAAACATGCTCTTACCTTCTCTTATTTAAAACAGCCCATAATACAGTCTTCAGGCAGGAGTTCTCTTTCATGTTGTTCTGTGCTTTGCTACTGTGATCTTGGGCAGTCTTGTGTCTGTTTGAAATCCATGACCTCAGCATCAGAATAGCTTGTACTAACCTTTTTTATTAACAGTTGTAGGCTTTTTCTCATTTTCTCTCTGGCTAATATACTGTTACAATGAATGTGCACCTGACTCACTGTCCTCTGCTCAGACTGGTTAAGTTGTGGCATAATTAGCCTGACTGCCTACCAAGCTTCTCGCCTGTGGAACCAGCTCCCAGTTTCAGTTCGGGAGGCAGACACCCTCTCTACCTAGATTAGACTTAACACTTGATATAGTATTGTGATTCTGTCATTAATTATTTTTAGTATTGGTGATAATACAGCTGCCTGACTGTGCTTATTGGTAGTATATTCTTCCTTTTTTTAATAATCTTGGTAGAGTGTCAGTGGTTGGACAACTGAGTGGACCTGGCTCTTGGAGGTGACTGCCGTTACAAACCAGCTAGGCCAGCCACTGCTTAAGTTGAACAAATATACAAGGCACATGATGTGTGTCAAACCACATATCTGCTTTTTGTTTGGGTGAGGTTAGGATTCAGGGATGCTTTGTGTTAAGGGTAGGTTAGGTTTGAAAAATGGCGTTGCTCATTGTGGGTCTCTGTGTCAGGATCGTCGCATAAAGCTGCCGATAGTGTCTCAGGTGAACTCAATTATAATGCCAGATGAGATAGAGTAGCTAGTTATCTCTTTACTGCACACAATTAAGAGCATACACTGGCGTAGTCCAAAAACACACTCCAACTCAAAAACAACAGTCCAGGGCCAATCCCGGCAAACTCACACAGCCAAGGAATCCAAAACGAGATGTCAGAGAGACAAGTCCAAAAGTCAAGACACAGAAAAGAAACTAATCAGAGTCAGGAGGGGAAGGCAGTACTCGGTGGTCGAAGAAATCCGGGGTCACAACAGGAATTGCAGGTAACAATAATAAGGCTGGAAAGTCTGCACGGGAGTCAAGAACAATCTGGCAGCTTTCCGGTGGGGGGCGGGGCAGCTTATAACGGGTGAAAACAGGTGTAAACAATGAGTGCTTAGTTAAAGTAAAAAGTCCGTAACTGAGATACGTATGGCTATAACAGGAAGCTGTGTCAAAAGAACAGCATCAGACCAGAAACAAGTGGGACAGAATCATGACACTCTGAAGATTTCTGATTTATGAGTTACACATTCATATCTGGAAGCAGCCCAGTACAACCACAAACTTACCTGTGGCCACTGAGCAGCTCCACTGGAGTTGTTGGGGCTAAGAGCCTTGCTCAAGGGCACCACAGTGGGGCTTTGTCATCTGTCTCACCCAGATTTAATCCTGCTGGGATTTTTCAATCCCAGCAGGATTAAATCTGCTGGGAAAAATAAATAAAGTCCTTGAGCAGAGGACAGCGATTCAAAAGGTGACTCTCCTTGCTTCTCTAACCTTTAGGCCACCACTGCCCCAGAGTACAGGTAACTGTGTAGATTAAGGACATAAAGTAGACAAATCAGTAACCAGCATATAATATAGAGTGGAGTAAATGTACAATTTTTCCTGTGAAATGTTGGTGATTAGAAGTAGGCCTATGCAGGAAGATAAAATGGAAGTACTTGCAGTAAGGTAAGGCCAGCTTTTGAACACTGGCTGTGCATATTAGGAGAAATGTTTGTTAATGTTGTGTTATCAAATAAAACTGATGAATGTTTATAAATAATGTTGGTACAAGAATGGTAATGCTAATCAAGCAAATAAATATATGGTGAATATTACATTTCTGAACATCACTATTCTAGTCCTTACAATGATTTTTTAATATAATGCCTTAAAATAGGTGTAAAGTTTTTAAATTGTATTTAGTGCAAATGCAGAGTGCAATACCTAAACATTATGAAGCCTGAGTGTGACACAGCTAATGTCTGAATGGAGTGAACATTTCTATGGATATTTAAAAGGCACTGGAAAGTTAATTTTATTATGATTTCTATTAATAGGCTATTGATTATAATAAATGATATGATGCTTGCAGCTATTTTTGTTCAAAGAAGTGATTGTGGTTAGAGCATCTGTAGGATAGATTTAAATAAGTCAGGGTAAAAAAAAAAGTATTTTATATCACAAAATTACAAAAATGTGTTGTGATCGTTATGGTTTGGAATGTATTGCCTAAGATGAAGCAAAACAAATTCCACAAAATATTCATACATTGCACTGTAAAATATAGACAGTGTTAAGTAGTTAACCATTCCCACTGGGGATTACGTATTTAGAGGTCATGTTGATTGGTGCTGCCTAAATCACTAAGTACACTGACTGCGTACTGAATTATTTAACGTCTTATGCCCTCACTCCTCCACCCTCAGGCCATAAAACCTACATAGTGTATGGAACTAGGTTGCGCTGTGATTCAGAGACTATTTCTGACTGGCATTAAGGAAAGTAATGCAATATATTAACTATGTTCCTCTGTAATGCTGGCGTAGCTCTGACATTTGGTACTGTCTGGAAAGTTACTTTGCCTGGATGTCATGTGTTACTTGGGTACTTCACTGTAAAGTCCATTGTGAGTGACCTGGAGGCTTCAAGTTTCATATTTGTGTAGGTTGCATGCTGGCAACAACTGGCTCCAAACTAACTGTGATCTCACAAATCATGCTCATATGTGTAACACCTTACATGGTGTTCAAGATTTTTTTACTGAATACTGAAGGCTGAATACATATGCACACCACAGTTTTCAGATTTTTATTTGTAAAAAATCTTGAACACCACGTATCATTTTCCTTCCACTTCACAATTACACGATTCTTTGTGTTGGTGTATCACATAAAATCCTGATAAAATACATTTAAGTTTGTGGTTGTAATGTGACGAAATGTGGAAAAATTCAAGGGGTATGATTACTTTTGCAAGGCACTGTACACCAGTCTGCACAGTGCACCTTAATACTAATGTAGTTCATATACAGTACGTATTGTATGTTACACGAGGTTACATGCTATCTTCTTTAAATAAATGCGTGTAACAAATATCTATAGTGTAATTTTTCACTGCTGTACACTAAATGTCACTCCATAATGTCCGTTATTATAATGTTTGCCTAAGAAGTGGCTCACTTAATGGAGTTCATCACAAGATGTGAATTGGAATTGAATTTACTGTGAAATAAGTAAATATTAAAGAGCTGTAGGTGCACTATTGCAATGTTAAACACTATTTACATTGTTTTTTCTTGATGTTTAAATCCAGAAAGGTGTTGATTTGACTGCCTGATCATTTTGGAGGCTGTAGTCTGTGCACAGTACAATTCAACTGTACAATTCCCATTTACTGGGGGACTGTTAGATTAGACTGGCCTATTTTTTTTCTTGTCATACCTAATAAAGTGACAATTGAGCATACTCCTTACTCTTATACAGCACTGGGTACATCCCAAGTCTCTTATACTGTATGATAGGTCTTGCATCCTTGGTGATTGGATGTTTCAGATGGAAGGTAAGAGGAAAGGACTTGTCTTTTCATTAATGTTTCCACAAGTCCTCTCTCCTCACGTTTTCCTTCCTTGTATGATATGTGGGCAGGACTAAGACACTAGAAGAAGATGTAAGTGGGAGAAACAGTGATTATAAGACATTTGGGATGTACTCACAGTCTGCACACAAGTAGGCTGCATTATTGTTAGACTGGGAATATATTAGCCATGATGGGATTAAGATGTAAATATCAGTCATTGTTCAATCTTTATTGATCTTATGGTTTTATTGTAACTTATTAATTACATATGGTACATCCCAAGTCTCTTAATATAGGCACCACCATTTCCCTCAATTGCATTTTTTCCTTGTGTTCCACCTCCGTAAGATGCGAGGAAAAAATTCAAGAAGTAAGGAACCGAGGAAATGTTAACAACATAAAACATCGTTTCCTTCAATCCCTCATCTGAAGCATCCAATCACCAATATTGAATGTTGAATGGTCTGCTGCAGCTTTGTGGAGCCAAGTTTACAATTTACACCCAGAACCAATGACAGCTACTGAAAACCACAGGATTAAAAGATAAAGCAGGAACATTTGTTCAAAGAGATGCTTAAAACATCAATTTAAAAACACAAGTAAACCTCAGTGATATTGACTACAAGTGGAATGGGAGAACTTTTATGCCTTCTTTTGTTAATGCAAAGATGGTGATGACACACACTATAGACATTTTAATGCAACAAAGGATGCATTTTATTGAAAATTAAAATAAAGCTGTATTAGAGGGTTCTCCCCCTTACTTATCACCATACAAGACAGTACAGTTGTCGATAATTTCAAAAACAAGGAGGGAAAAGAAAAAAGAAACCATGGAGAACATATTAGCTAAAAATACCTTCCCTGATTAGCTGTCATAATACACCACAAAATGAGGGAATGTACGTAGACTGAAATTGGAGTCATTCATTTTAGTAGCAACTCTCAGACTGAGTGAATGTGTGTCAGTGGAGAAAAAGAGAACTGCTGCAGAAAAAATACATCTATGACATGATGGACTTTAGCCTCAAATGTTCATCAGAATAGTGTGATGGAATGTGTCGACCAACAATAGACTGAAAAGCAAATACTAACATCAGCCAACAACTTTCTAAATAATTATATTTCTTCATCATCATTGCCAGGATAATTTCTGTTAACATTTTTATTGCTGTGAAAAGTTCCACTGGACTGAGCATGACAGTAACTTAAACATTTGGCACTATTCTGCTAACCATAAGGACATCAAGGATCAAAGTGGGTGGAAAATTCAATGGAAGGATAACAATTCATTGAATCTACAATATAATGTACAGTGCATCAAGAAAATAGTCACAGCGCTGTCTATATAAGGTCCCACAGTTAACAGTGCATGTCAGAGCACAAACCAAGCCATGAGGTCCAAGGAGTTGTCTGTAGATCTCTGAGACAGGATTGTATAAATGTATGAATTTCCCACAGGTGGACTCCAATCAAGTTGTAGAAACATCTCAAAGATGATCAGTGGAAACAGGATGCACCAGAGCTCAATTTTGAGTGTCATGGCAAAGGCTGTGAATACTTGTGTACATGTGATTTTTTTTTTTTGTTGTTTTTTATTTTTATTAAATTTGCTAAGATTTCAAAAAAAGTTTTTTTCACATTGTTATTATGAAGTATTGTTTATGGAATTTTGATGACAATAATGAATTTGGAATAAGGCTGTAACATAACAAAATGTGGAAAAGGGTAAGCGCTGTGAATACTTTATGGATGCATAGTATATATACACTCAACTCCATGTTTCTATACATCATCAGTAAATAGGTAATGTTTAATGAAATGAAGTATAAAATAAAAAACATTGTTTCCCACAATCCCTCCACTAAATAATCTCAGACAATCTCAACAGAAAACAATGGAGACACCAAATTTGCATATATAATTGTAGATCATCATTTTTGTTTTTCCTCCCAAAAGAACAGTACATTTTTTCACTATTTAGAGAATTTGGGAAAATCTGCATCCTAATAACCCCAAATGTCCTCCCACCTCACTAATGCAGGTGTATAACTGTAAATTGTACTGCATCAATAACAATGAACGGGGAGGAAATGTCAACAAAACTCATCAAGTACTGAGTATTTTTCATTCTGTGATGAAATATTTGCTAATGATTGTTAAAAACCTTCACAGTGGCTGAATACACCAGGGGGATATTTAATAAACCTGTCACAAATTACCATCAGGTGCAGAAAATATTGCGGCTGTAATTTATAAATTTAGTTGCATATTTACCAACACTGATGAGGTAATTGAGCACAGCCACAGCTGTGTTAATTTGAATACACATGCACTTTGGATCTGCTGCCTGAAGGCTGTTGCATATGTGGACGGAGAGGAAGTGTAGCAACACATTTTATAGTCAGACAAATATTATCGGTTGTTTTTCTTACTGTCATGATCAGTAATGGGCTTGCTTATTCCAATGTCAGGAATGACATATTTAGTTCTGAAAGCAATTACATCGTTTTTTTAATTAACAGCCCTTTTATCAATGTCAATTATAGTTAACATCAAGACCATCTTAATGTATTTCATGACCCCACATTGTTGTAGGAGACAGAACTGAAGCAGACTGAATGGTTTGCAAGACAGCTCAGGGAGATTCAGACTTGGACTCAGATCTAACATATATCAGATGATGAGAGACATATGGATGAGTCTGAACCTGTGATTCAAGAAGAACAAGAAGAGGATGCAGGAGGCTCGGATGAGCAGTCACAGATAAGCAGGAAAGACTTCATCCTCTGTGGACGAGGAGTAGCATGTATGATACTTTATCTTTGAAACTTAATGTTGAATTAAAGCTAATAATTCGAACTAAATTAAATGCACTATCTTGATTGAGACACACTGACCAAGTGCAAATTGTGCAAATATTTTAGCCACATGTAAGAGCCCCAGAAAATGACCTGATTAGCATTCAAGGCTGTTTTCAATGATTGAGCAAGGATTTGATATTAGCCATGATTTTATGACAAGTCAACTATGAAAAAGGTAAAGTGTACACTTTTTAACACTGTAAGCGATACTGGTATAACTACTACAATGGCACATGGTATTCTGCTTTGAACCTCCAGGTGGGAGAACGTACAGTAGGAACATTCCTTAAAAAAGAAAGAAAGAAAAAAGAAAGAAAATAAGAAAAGCCTGGAATTATTTGCATAGTTAGGCCTATCAATCCTATCAGGTATGAAAAACATCTTAATCATTGTTGAGCTCTGGGTATTTAAGCCCAAACCACTGATCTGAAAATGAAACATGATATAAAAATGTTTTGTTTTTTGTCCAACTCAAACAAACATATCAAATTTGAACAAGGAAATTGTTCCTGGAATACACTGATTAACTTTAGGGGTGCCTCAGTTGCCTTATATTCAATTATACAGTACAATGCCTGTCCTACCCCTCTCTCTCACTATGTTTTCTGTTTCTCTTCTACTGCTTTCAAACAAAGATAAAAAAAAAAATGCTACAAAAAACTTTCACTTCCATATAACTGATTTGGGCAGTTAACTCTTATTTGGTTGTTGTGAACTCTAGATTAGCCCTCTCCACTCTAGCAGTCCTGCTACTGGGACAAAGCTGTATCTGTTATTAAAATGTTACCACTTTGAGGACACAGCTTACCCAATGGTGAAAATTGATAGCATTACACTGTTGCACTACCGATCAAGAGTTTGGACACATTTTACCACTACAGTGAATGTGCA